AATACGATCGATTCAATACTCAATAAGATCAATTCAATATTCAACATTGAACCCATTCAATGTTGGTCGCTGTACAGAGTTTGTAAAAAAACCCATCAAATTTCACTCTGGGCTTCCTGTGCTTTCTAATTCACCGCTGACCTCCAAGACTGCTGTCTTTGCGTGTCCTCGTTCATAACAAAATGGCAACTGAGTTTTTCCCGAAGATCTCCCAAAGTTCTTAAACTCTGTACTGGACCGTGTCGAAATTACATGAAACGAGGAAAGAGTCGATGGTGATAGCTTGCAGTTGTGTATTTGTACGCTTGATCTGACAATAGGTTTGATAAGAAAGCTGCACGATATTGCTTGAGATGCATCAGATGAGAAGGAATGGAAAGCAATGGGTGATGCATTCTTTGATGTTCTTACTTGTCWACAGAACCATCTTGTCTGTATGGAACGTAAAACAACATATATTAGTTGCAAGCAWAGTGCTACTGCTCACAATGGACTCCCCRGGAGGCCATMATTTGAGATTCCTGTGGATATGTTGGAAAACCTTCTTGGTCTAGGATTTTSTTGTCAGAAAATTGCAGCTATGCTTKGAGTYTCGAGGTGGACAATCTATAKGAGAGTGAGAGAATACGACTTGCAGGAGCTCACAAAGTTCAGCCCAATTTGCAATAAAGACTTAGATGATATTATTRGAGATTACATAGATCGCCATGGTTCAACTGCAGGACAAACATATATTACTGGATATGTACGTTCTCCTGGTTTGAGARTTCAGAGACACAGAATGTTTGACAAGAGTAGACCCTACAAATACTGCACTCCGATGGGGTATCGTAGTCTGTCGTAGAAAATATTATGTCTCTTGGCCTAACTCCCTGTGGCATTTAGATGGACATCATTCGTTGATTCGCTGTAGTGCGGCTGTATAGATGGTTTTTCTAGAAATTGCTCMAAAMAATCTAGCTGGCACTGTCCTACATCACTTCATTAAAKCTATAGAGAATGACGGTGGTTTATGGCCCTCTCSAATCAGGGTTGATAGAGGGGTAGAGAATGTCCTGGTGTGTGATTCCATGATCGAAGCAAGGGGGGRAAACAGAGGCAGTTTTATTGCTGGTCCTTCCACAAGAAATCAAAGAATRGAGCGTTTGTCGAGGGAAGTCTTTCGTTGTGTCTTGCATTTATATTATTASATATTCTATGGTAAGGAAGACTGGACTGCTTAATCTGAATAATYCCATCCATATGTTTACTCTACAACTTGTATTTCTACCTAGGATAAGTTACAGCCTGCACGAGTACTGTAAAGCATTCAACAATCACAGTATACGAACAGAAAAARAACTGGACACCAGACCAAATGTGGATGAATGGTATGATGGATGAGAATAACCCTCTAGCAAGAGGTCTTCTAGATKGTGATCCAGATTCTTTAGAATGTTATGGTGATGATCCTGATTGTCCCTCTCCATTTGATGATACAGACAACAATGTTGTTGTAGATCCTGTTTTGATAGACAGTAGTATTAACATTACAGCAAGGGTTCTTGAAAGGATTGATCCACTTAGATCATCATCACAGATGGGAGTTKACATGTATACCGAAGCTCTGACTCTCATAACTCAGATGACTGTATCACAATAAAATTTCAATAGTTCAAAATATGGGTCTGGCATTGARTTATATATAAATTTCTAGTTGCAACTACTATTCTCTAAGAGGTTATTGTCACGTGGGTTTGTTTCGT